GAAATGACAAAAGCCACAAAATACGTACCTAATTTAATAATTTCAGAATTAATTATTTAAAAATTTATTATTCATAGGTTTAGATGCTTAGAAATCGAACACTTGCCAATAAACTACACATGTTACATTTATTTAAAGAAAATAACAAAAATCAGAAGATTTATAGTGTTATTTAAAAAATGGTCTAAAGTCATTTAAAAAAAAAACCGCCTCTGAAACACAATCAGTTAAGCAATTCTAGTTTCTTTGATGAATAAAGTGCATGTAAAGTTGAAGTATTTTATTTTTTTACTACAATGACTATGCCTTGAAAACAAAATAGCGGTGGATTATTAACAACCCGCAAAAACACGCTCAATTTATTGTTTGAAGTGAGATTTATTTTGATTAAATTTTGTGATGATATCATCAACCTTTAGCCGGTTTTGATAGATACATATTGTAAACCTACACTATTCTCTCAGAACGATTTACTCACTAAAATAAACTGCTTCATTTTTCAAAAATTCTGGATAAACGTTAAAAAACATATGGGTACCCCAATAAACCACAACACTAGACGCATCATATTTTAGATGCGATTTATCCAACAAAATTTTGATATGACATCATCAAATCGTTGATAAGGATGACAAACAGACAAGAAAAACGACCTGCTTACGCTTGGACAATAAAAAATTATACCAAAAAAGACAACTATATTTTTGTCATAATTATTGCAACGATGAAAAACATGAACATTTCAATTTTTACATAACAATATACTGTTGAGCTTCATCTGATAATAAATACCCACCACAAATATTTATGTTTGTTGATATTTTGACATTTACATTTTAAGAAAATTATTCTGTTATATCAGAGAAATATTAGGCATTTTATTAAGGTTTCTTGACAAACTCTGAGTGTGATAAAATCAAAATACATATAAGTATTACTCAAATAAAAAAAAGTTGTCTAGTAAAAATTCCCACCAAATTACCTACCTACAGTTTAGAATGCATCCAAAAAATTCTCTTGCCTAAATCTTTTATGACAGTTTAGTGTGGTCTGAGGTGATCTTGAACTAGTTTCAATTTATTTGTTAAAAAGAATAAAAATTTATTTAATTTAAATCAATTTGTAAACTTATCGTTAGATCTTTATCTCTTTTTTAAACCCGGATGAGAAAAGAATTTTAATTCTGTTAATTAAAATACTTTTACTAATAAAGATTGCTAGACCTTTATTAGTTGCAACTTGTTAAAAATTTAGACAAAATAATTATGTAATTTGATATATCATAACTTATCTTTCATTTATTTACAACAGTGGTATTACCAGGAAATTTTTTCATATGGTTTATTTTTTTTAACAAATATCTGCATGTATTAAATCTACACTAATTTATTTTAAGTTACATATTTTTTCTAAATAATGAAAAATTTCTACACAATTGGATCTCATTATCTCAAAAATAACTGCATATATAGTGATAATCTAATAAATAACACGAGTATTTTGCAGGTGTAGTTTAAAAAAAAAAACGAAATTATGAATGTGTCATATATAGTTACTTAGTTGGTGTCAGTATTTAAATTATATTCACTCACTCATTGTGAGCTATAATTTCTAAAATTCTACTTCTTTGCCACCATGTGGCAATTAAAAATTATGTAATCATAAGTTTACCATAAATCTGTGAACAGTAGGAATAATGAAGCTATTTATATTTTATTATCTTGTATTTGTGATTGGAACTACCAGATTGTTATCTTCCATCAGCACATTTATAGCGTTTCGAAAAAGTTACCTAATTAATAAATAAAATTTTCTCGGACGACATTGAAAAGACCGCTTTTTTCACAAAAACAATAATATTTTACAAATAAACTTTTTGACAGAAATACTGAGGTGGCTTCTTCATGAATTTTAAACGTATCGTTGACATTTAATATTTAAATTTAGGTCATAGTCGGAGAATGACTACCCATAAACTTATCAGGATGTCGTTATTTCCAACGCTGAATCCATCCATTTTTAGCTTGCCAAAATTCTTTAAATTAAAATTTTCCACAACAGCTACTAGTTTATCCATTACTTGGGGTGTAAAAACTGCACGCTACAATCTATTTAGTTTATGATGTGTCTGAATTAAACGCTTTGAACTTTCCTGCAGCGTTGCACACAATTTATTCTTTTCTATTATGGAATAAATTTATGGATATTAAATATCATGTTTCCTATCAATTACACTGCATTAGAAATAGTTGTAAAAACGCTACTAGAATTTTCCGTCGGAAACAAAGGTTACACGTTTCCCACTACTCTGTCTGCCCAAATTTGTTGTTTTTTTGTTGAATATTAAATTAGCCGTCTTAAAGGTGGACCTGTTCTGTGAATAAAAAATGTAACATAGTTACACATCGTTGTACTTTATAGTTTTCTAGTAAAGCTTTAAATCTGTAAAATATTACCGAAGCATCCTTTCCTGACACCTCACCAGCGGTCCTCAAAAGATCAATGTAAAATGATGAAATATTTATGCATTTATTATCGATTATATCTATTTAAATTTAATAATTGTTACTCAAAACAACACTTGTAGGTTTTTAAGGTGTACTTCGCGTACAGATTTTATAAATTTTTCTATAAAAATTGCTTCGATTATTCTGAGAAAATTAATCACTTCTTACAAATTGAATTTATTGTTTTTATTGTACTTCCTCGATCAATAGACTCACTAACTGCATATAAAGTTATAAACGTTAATAAAAATTACGAACAAATAAAAAAAATGCGATAATTATTTAGTTACCAAAAAGTTAACTTCAGGCAATTATTATTTATAAGAATTATTTTTCGTTTATTAGGTAGCTTAATTTAAAAAAAAAACAACTTGTTTTGAAAATGTAAATGGACACCCAGCAAAACTTTATAGAAAGAAAAAATTTCATTGAAAAAATTTAGAACAATAATTTAACAAACTCATAAATGTGACTGTGTACGTTTAAAAAAAAGACACAACTCTGTGGATACACTGGACGAAAACATGATCAAAAAAATTTTCTTTCAGAGTATATTTACTTTAAATGTAAATTTAAATATAAGTTCAAATTATAAAAAAAAATCGTCTGTGGAATCGAAAACAAACGAAAAATAATTTCTTATCCAATAATTTGAGCGAATTATATTATTACCACTCAAACTACAAATATGTTGGTTACATTTTTCCATAAAATCAAATATTTTAGGAATGAATTTCAATTCTTGATCATCCTTTTTGTTCTTTTGTTGTGGGAAAAAAAAATTGAGTCAAAAACAATTTTTTAACGACTTTTAGGTCCCACCTCACGAATTGGTTCAGTATAATTATGACGTCACCCGGCACCCTACTCTAAAGTGGATACTACTAATGTCAGAGTAGGTAATTTCTAGTATTATTCTTCAATTTTGTGTATTTGGTATGAATAATTTAATGCATTTTTACTTCCCAAGCGTAAACCAAGCAAGTGAACGGGCAACTTGCCACTTTTATGTTTTCTTGAAGTTTCATGAGCTCAATATATGTTTTTTATTTTATAAAATGAGATACTCGTTCACTTGCGATGTATGAATCCGTGTTGAGTTTTTAACCTGGACATCCAAATTTTTTGAAAAAAAAAAATAAAAAATAGAAATTGTATAACGTTTCGCAATTTAACTTTGAAACTGCAAAACTGAATGCTCTGAAATCTTGCAAACGTTTTAAGGTTATAGAAATCAAATCGTTAATGAAAATTTATGCGTTTATTTCCTGGAATTTAGAATTATACTTATAAGGTGACCCAAAAAAATTAATCAACGATACAATTTATTTTAAATTTAATTTAAATCAAGAAAGGCTTACTCCATTTTCCCGAAAATTTGGGAATACAGTACTATTATTATTAGCATCACACTGCATCTATCCAAATTGATATACGTGTCCTTTCAAAAATGTGGCTGATCTACACTACTCTGATCTAGTCTGGTTTTTGCTGACATGCCCTGGTTAAAATAGTTAAATGATCACAGCAATTTAACTGTCAATGCAATATATTGTTAGGGTCAATGATTAATGTTTCAGTGGTGGAGAGAAATTTTTAAAAGTAAAAAGGTCTTTACAGTTAATATGATTTGAAGATATTATTTATTCTTAGTATTAAACAGTTTCGTTTTATTCGAAATTTCGTTTGTTTCTTTGAATTGGAATGATTTTTCATGTTTTTAAACGGGAGTTCGAAGTAATATTTTGTTGATTAAATGTCTAATTAATATTAAATTGTTAATAGATCGTCAAAACCTCTAAATAAATGATAAATGTGAACCGTCTAATTGAACTTGCCAATCTCAAAATTCAAAACAAAAAAAATCGGGTGAAGCGGACACGTTTTAATGCCAAGAATAAACACACCCTTCACTTCAACGAAGTGTAATGAAATATGATCGTTGTGTGTGATTTTATAGTGGTAATAATACGTCAGGTAAAACAAATTTGAATACATCTAGTAACTGTGGTGTATAATTCCAAAGGAACACTGACGTGATCACTGTGTCATAGTATTACGTTCGTTCACAAATATGTAGATTCACTTTTGTTTTTTTTCTTTTGTGAAAACGAAATAAAAATGATAATCAAGTTTAATTCACGATGTACATATCTTCATTAGTAAAGCACACAAAAGAAATTAAATTATATTTTATCTTACTAATAAAACTGTCGTCGCAATAATTTCTAAAAATTTATGTTCGTCAAGAAGCCTATACCGTTGGGTGTTGATACTCTTGACATTCTATTAAAATAAAAGGTCATACCAGCCCGCCGTTGTGTCACATGCATTCTTAATCAAAATAATAAATCTGAACCAAATCCAACATCGAACGTTTGAAAACCACTGTGCTCCAAGATGAACCCATATGAATTAGTTTGAGCAAAGAGGGGGAACAATTATAAGCATAAACCAACCCATTAAAAAAGATAAATGCCAGTTTGCCACATTTTGTATAAATTCACTATCCGACTCGGCTTTTTCACAGTTTGAACTTGTCACCATGAGAGTCGTGAGTCTCGAAAATCACACATTTAACCAATTCCAATCACTTCTTCATTACAGCTATTTGTTATATCAGCAGTGATAGCTTTGGGCGTTGCTCAGAGTCCTCGTGCCAGTTTGTCCGCAAATGGCGTAGATGGGCGGTACTACCCCAGCGATGAAGGACAATATCGGCCAGACAACTCAGGATCGTACTACGGGGGCGACGATGGGTCGTACCACCCTGATAACAGCGGTGCCTACGTTTCCGACGACTCGGGCAAATACAGCGGAGATTACGAGAGATATGTCCACACGGCGGATCAGTTCGGAGGCAGCGGAGGCGGCGGTGGCGGCGGCGGCGGCGGTGGCGGCGCTGGTGGTGCTGGCGCAGGTGGAGCCTTCGTTGGGGGTGGCAGAAGGGGGCCTGCTACCGCTGTTTTGGTGGCGGTACAACCTGTCAGAACTACCGGTACTATTAGTGGGTCATTTGGCGGAAGCAGGGGTACCTTTACAGGTAGTAGGGTAACTGGTGTTACCGGATCTAGGGTTAGTTCCAGCTCTGGGGGTGCTAGCAGTGGATTTAGCAGTTCCGGAAGCCTTAGCGGATCTGGAGTAAGCACTTTTGGTAGTGGAACCAGAACTGGGGGTAGTTTTGGAAGTTCCGGTACTCTTAGCGGATCCGGAGTAAGCACGCTTACTGGTACGAGAGTTAGTGGTAGTTATGGCAGTACCGGTAGTGTTACCGGATCTGGAGTAGGCACGGTTACTGGTTCAAGAATTAGTGGTAGTTATGGCAGTACTGGTAGTGTTACCGGATCTGGAGTAGGCACGGTTACTGGTTCGAGAATTAGTGGTAGTTATGGCAGTACCGGTAGCGTTACCGGATCTGGAGTGAGCAGTTTTGGTAGTGGAACCAGAACGGGGGGTAGTTTTGGAAGTTCCGGTAGTCTTAGCGGATCCGGAGTAAGCACGCTTACTGGTACGAGAGTTAGTGGTAGTTATGGCAGTACCGGTAGTGTTGCCGGATCTGGAGTAGGCACGGTTACTGGTTCAAGAATTAGTGGTAGTTATGGCAGTTCCGGTAGCGTTACCGGATCTGGAGTAAGCAGCTTTACTGGTAGCAGATATGGGAGCGTTAGTGGATCTAGACTTAGTTCCGGCTCTGGTGCTGCTTCAGGAGCCGGTTTTGGTAGTGCCGGTGGTGCCGAAATTTACAAAGTCAGTCAAGGTTCCGGCTCTGGTTTTTATGACAACAGGAATTACGCCATTATTCGTAAACAAGAACAAGTAGGTGAAGATGGATACCATTACGTGTAAGTACTGCTTATGTACGTCTTACCGAATTTTAATGACAATTATTCTTAAGGTATGAAACCGAAAATAAAATCTTGGGCGAAGAACAAGGAAAGTTGGCCAATGTAGGGACAGAAGATGAGGCAATACAGGCTAATGGATACTACGAATACACCGGTCCTGACAACGTCGTGTACAGGGTGGACTACACAGCCAATGAAAATGGTTTCCTTCCTTCAGCTGCCCATATACCACAACCACCACCAATTCCAGAAGCCATTGTGCGTTCTCTCGAATACCTGCGATCCATTGGGAAGTTATAATTTATTTTCAAATTAATGGAAAACTCCCTTTTATGTTCGATTTAATTATACCATGTATATACTGTAATTAACGATAAAATAAACACATTGGAAAACGCTACTTAAATTCGATCACGTGTCTTTTAAAAAGGTGATAAGGTTTCTAAAATTATAGCATCCATAATGGTCGGTCAGAACTTTTACCTTGATTTTAAACAGGGTAAAGGTTAGAGATGCAAAGAGATGACGAAATCAGTATTTTAGAATAACAAATTTAAAAAAATATCGGTAGTAGAAATATTTAAATATGAAAATATTTTTAGGTGACAATAATAGGCAAGTATGTAAAGTTGTTATTTAGAGGTTGTCGAGAGAATATCACGTTTCTAAACGTTTATTACTTTTAACTGACATAATAATCATACTAATCGGTACTTGAGGGTAATTAAGTGACTTTCCTTATTGGCTGCAATGCATGTTTACATCGATAAATAAATTACTTGTCTTGTCTAAGTTTATAGAAAAATTAGAAAATATTATGGTATATTTTGCAGGATTAAGTAGTTACGCAAGTGTTATTTAAATACAAATTTACCATGCATTAAACACAGAAAATTAAGAGAAGTGCAAATATACGCAGATGTTTTACGTGTTTCAAATTCGTGCCGACATAATGCAAGAATAATTTTATTATTTGTTGTGTTTTAATACAATTTTAGTAAAATCAGCATTGAGTAAAAAATATTTAAAATAATAATTTTTAAAAGCCTATATAAGAAAAAAAAAAATATATAAAAAAATTGTGGTCAGATCCTGTGTTGTATAGTGATTACTGTTTAGTCCTTTCATTAGATGACTAATAATATAGCTGTGTAGTACAAGGTGCCTACCTACTGTTTGTCTTTCAAATCTGTGTTTACTTTCATATTACCACGCAGTATTATTGTGCCCACCAGGTACATACTTAGAGATACCTAGTGAATGATGTACCACGAAATAACTTGTTAAATTTGGTTTTTATTTTCTCAAAAATGTACTGTGAATGTGCAATAAAAATATTTTTGTCCCATTTGTTAACAAAACCACACCAAATACTGCATATCTATGTATATACGTCAGAAGTATTTTTTAATAAAGTTTTATGGAATATTCTTTTAGAAAACAACTTTCTTGAGAGGGTAAAAATTGATATTATATTTGTAATTCTTAATTCAACGTTAATGTTTTACCAAAATTTTTCGAAATTTGTTCCATATTTTTTAAAATCAACTGTAAAACTTTCAAAATGTTAGTTTTTCGCAATAACCTGCATTTTGATAATTTGAAGTACAGGTGATGAAGCGTTTTTGAGTAAAATCATAATTCTTTTAAAAAGGCTAAACTATTTCGTCTGCGCTTAAAATTTCCAACTAATAAGTAATAAGTAACTAATATTTTTCGAGACTGTTTGTATTATTAATTTCCTTAATTATAGTTTGGGAAAACAAAATAATAGAAGAAATTAATGTATAACCTGATCTAGAGAAAGTCAAGAACAATGACGAGATGGGAAATGAACAAAGAGGAAATAGAAGAACTCAAAAAAAAATGAGAAAGGTCAATATAAATTCTCGGGAAGTCAAATACAGTTATATTTATGGATGAGTATTGACAAAACACATTTACATTGGTTATAGAGATCAGAATGCTTGAACACCATAACTTACAACATGGTTCATGTTCATTTTATTATTCAGTGTTTATATTTTGCATTTATAAGCAGTTAGGAAATTAATTTAGCTGCAAAAACCAAATTTGTCGAACAGTTTTATTCATTCAGGTAGGTAATAGGAGTAAAATAATTAGAATAAAAGAAAAATCTATTTAGTCTATTTAAACCCGAGCGTAATCTACGAATACTTTTCTAAAGGGTTTGTTTGATAATATCAAAATTTTTAAAATTTGACTTTTGAATTCAACTGACAGTGAATCGCAAGAAGGAGGAAATAACGACTTTTGTTGAATTAAATAATTTTTTGGAAAATAACAATCCACAGAACAAAAAATAATTGTGTCTTAAAGTTTGTGAAATATTTGTAAAAATCGATTTTTGAAGATTTCATTAATTTATTTTTGTTTCTGTTCATGAATGAATCAATTGCTACAAAACAAAAATGTGTAAAAATAAACAAAATTAAAAATAGTGTTTCTGTATACTTCTACAGAATACTTGTAAATGATTATGATTGAAAAGTGACAATCTCTGAAGAATTAAATTTGACGTTCCATTTTAACAACAAACGCAGCTAACAAAAAAACGCATACAAGTTGTTATAAAAAAAATCAATATGTTTAGATCGCTAAATTTTTAACTTTAACTCGAACATTAATAAATATCCTGTTCAAGTATATCTTTCAAAAAATTGATATTTAAATCTTAATCACAAAATATATTTCGACATTAGTGGGATTTTTCTTCATAAGCGAAGGAAGTTGAATGCAAATAACTTTGGAATTTGATTACTTCAAAAATCGAAAGTTTGGTGTTAATAAATTGGTATCTTTTTTTCTGTATCGTGATGAGCAAAAAATGTTCGCTAACTGTTTAAGTATAATTAGTAGTATCGAATTTTTCAAAGGTTAACAATGCATTGTACAAGTATATATTAATCTATGTCGTTGTGAGCTGTTATTATGTTAAATTATGGTATAATCTCTTTGTTCATGCTCATTCACCACGATCGAAATTGATGTTCCTCGTTTCCAGTTTATAGTAGATATATTAAATATAAAAAATTGGTCGAATATTATTTATGCAGAACTTCCCTTGCTCCTGAAGTACAGTACAACAAATCCAGTTTTCTTTCTTACGCTGTATGACTAATTATAAAAACTATCATTACATTGATAAACCAGAGTAATAATATTTTGCACATTTACTAGAGAATTTATTCAGCAAAATTTTGAAATGATGTCATCAATTTTTTGGGAGAGGATAAATTTTGATTAACGATTTATCATGCTTCCAAAAACCTAACTTAACGTTTGAGTTTTGCAGGTTCAAAGTTAAATTGCACACAATTCTGATTTTTTTCTAGAAATCTGCATGTCAAGAATAAAAATTCAACACGGATTCATAAACTGTAAGTGGAGGAGTATGTTATTTTAGAAAATTTAAAAAACATTTGCTAGTGTAAAAGTTGGAGATGACATCATATTATTGTTGGTAGAGATGATTACTCAAATTTTGATTAGTCTTTTTCCATCTACACGATAATAAAAATCTACTCCAGGGGTTATTAAACATCGATAAAACCTAAGAGTAGTCAAGTGTCGGATGAACTCGATTACAATACTTCCTTGGTTTTCACTCCGGAAACAAAACTATCAAATTCTACTTCAACTAAAAATCAATTTCTTTTATAATAATTTTCTTAAGAATACAAAACAGCAGCACAATAAAATGAAAAGTAGAAATATTGTGTACCTACTTGTTTAGAAACAACTTTAGAAAGGCTAAAATATCCATCACTATGTAAAGACTAATACAGAATTCTAATCTTTATGGCTTTTTCTTTTGCTATTGTTAGCGAGTTCCCTTTTCTTTGTATATACATGTATAGTTCAAATTTAAAATACTAACCTCGAATAAAAAAATGTTTGCTAACTACTTCTTCCAAAGATGATTTTAAAATATGATCTACAATTCTTCTGCTGATTGAGTTAAAATCTTCAGTAATAAAAAAAAACTTTCATGCCAAAAATTTCAATACACGTTTAGTGCAGGTAAAAAGAAACAAATTTTTTGAACTTTAAAAACTTTGATACAACAAAAATTGTAATGTTAGAATGAGTAATATTTACTTAGTACAAAATTTGGAATGGGTCTTGAAACCTCACAGAAAATCGTATTTTTAAAAGATATGAAAATTCATGTAATTTTAATGACTAATATTTTACAAAAATTATGCAGTTCATCTACCAATGATAAAGAAAAAATTATAACTCAAAAACGAACTAAGACACCACTGATATTCATAATTTCCAGTAAAAATTATTTCGTGAAAATGTTTACTCATTTGTCGTTGTTAAATTTATTTTAATTGTATTTAAATTCTAGTTTCGCTTTGTTATATATCTACACACACTTAAATTAAAAATTTAAATAACTCTACAATAAATAACAAACTGGTAAATAGGCATACCAGCAATATTTACCTACCCTTTAAATCCGGATTTCCTGTCTTTCCGGGCCGATCTCGGCACATTTTATTCTCGCACAGAAATAAATTATTTTTAACAAAATTAAACCATATGAAGAAAATATAAATAATAAGAGTCACGGTCTAAAAATATATATATATATATATGTTACGGTTAAAGTGAATACTCGGCTAGTTTCCAAACTAACTGGTTGTTATGCAAACTAACCAAGTCGCTAGTTATTATAGACGAAAAACTATTTTCTCTTACATTAGCAGGGTTTCTTGGTTAATTTTTAAACTGCCCAGCTAGTTTATAAACTACCGTACAAGTTTGGATAATTTAAATACTTTTTTTAAAGTACATAAATTAACCGAAATAATTGGTTAGTTTACAAACCAGCCACTTTGTTCTGGTTAAAATAAGAACTTTTTCTCTAGTACGATAAAATAACCAATGAATTGTATCATTGCCTGCATTGAACACTAAAACAACTGTCTGTTTGCATACTAACTGCCTAAAATATGATACAATTCGTTAGTTATTTTATCGTACTAGAGAAAAAGTTCTTATTTTAACCAGAACAAAGTGGCTGGTTTGTAAACTAACCAATTATTTCGGTTAATTTATGTACTTTAAAAAAAGTATGTAAATTATCCAAACTTGTACGGTAGTTTATAAACTAGCTGGGCAGTTTACAAATTAACCAAGAAACCCTGCTAATGTAAGAGAAAATAGTTTTTCGTCTATAATAACTAGCGACTTGGTTAGTTTGCATAACAACCAGATAGTTTGGAAACTAGCCGAGTATTCACTTTAACCGTAACATATATATCTATGTGCGCTGATGATAAACATGTCGTTCGTTCTAGTATAAAAGGTTATTTATTATAGAATTAGGATTTTTTTACGGAAATT